GAAGAAGAGAAGCTGGTCAGCAAAAAGAAGGAAAGTTCGAGAGCAGACAAGACCTTCGCTGAACCTGACCAACCTAAAGACTTGTGGCAGTTGCACGTAGACGGAGCGTCGAACCAAAAAGGAGCTGGGGCAGGTGTCGTCATCATCACTCTGGATGGAACCCTGTTGGAGCAAGCTATCACGCTTGGCTTCCCAGCCTCAAACAACGAGGCATTGCTCGCTGGCTTGCGCTTGGCAAAGGAGCTGTCAATCAAGAAGCTGGCCATCTACTCAGATTCCCAGCTGATCACAAATCAAGCCTCAAGAGAATACATGGCGAAGCACCCAAGGATGATCTTGTACCTTGACAAAGTCCAAGAGCTGTTGAAGGTGTTTCCTACCTTCACCATCCAACAAGTGCCTCGAGCAGAGAACGTGCACGCAGACGCACTGGCGAGCTTAGGATCAGCGCTTGATACCCAGTTCAGACGCTCTATCCCGGTCGAGCACCTTGACCAGCCAAGCATAGAAGAGGCAAAACAGCCAAACTTGATGCAGATCGACGAGGATCCTAGCTGGCAAGACCCTATCATTGACTACCTGGTTAACGAAAACTTACCCAAGGACAAGTCCGAGGCTCGGAAAATCAAACAGAAGGCTGTGAGGTACTACATGAAAGGTGACATGCTTGTTCGCAGATCAAGTACCCGCAGACGCTCGAGGTTCTTTGCCAAATACACGACGGCGAATGTGGAAATCACGCTAGGGGCAGATCGCTTGCCTAGAAGGCTCTCAGCATAGGCTACTTCTGGCCTACCATGCGCCAAGACTCCACTGAGTATGCTCAAAGATGTGATCGGTGCCAACGATATAAGCCGATCCCTGGCTTGCTAGCTGAGGAATACCATCCGCAGAACAGTCCATGGCCTTTCATGCAATGAGCCATCGACTTGGTGGGACCTATGCCGACAGCACCTGCCAACAAGGAGATGAAGATCGTCGCCACAGATTACTTCACCAAATGGATCGAGGCCGAGGCTTTATCCTCTACCAAGGAAGCTGATGTCGAACGGTTTATCTGGAAGAACATCATCTGCCGATTCAGATGCCCGCAGTCAATAGTCACCGACAATGGTACACAGTTCGTGGGCAGGCAGATCACCACAGTCCTTGCGAAGTATGGCATCAAGCAGCACCTGTCAACTCCCAGATACCTCCATTGTAGACAAGCTGCTCCTCGAGCACAAACTTCATGGAGCCTTTTTCGAGAGCTATGTCCCCGACATACGCACACAGGCTACAAGCCTTACCTCCGCTGAAGGCAAGCTACTTCTCGAGTACAAACTTCATGGAGCCCCTTTCAAGCGCTATGTCCCCGACATACGCCCACAGGCGATAAGCCTTACCTCCACTGAAGGCAAGCTACTTCTCGAGTACAAATTTCATGGAGCCTTTTTCAAGTGCTATGTCCTCGACATACGCCCACAGGCGATAAGCCTTACCTCCACTGAAGGCAAGCTACTTCTCGAGTACAAACTTCATGGAGCCTTTTTCGAGCGCTATGTCCCCGACATACGCACACAGGCTACAAGCCTTACCTCCACTGAAGGAAAGCTACTTCTCGAGTACAAACTTCATGGAGCCCCCTTTTTCAAGCGCTATGTCCCTGACATACGCACACAGGCTACAAGCCTTACCTCTATTATAGGCAAGCTACTTCTCGAGTACAAACTCAATGGAGTCTCTTTCAAGCGCTATGTCTCCGGACATACCCTTACAAGATACAATGAGAATTGAAGTTTGAAAGACAACTGAAAATTCCATTACAAAGCTGCCAACCAGCCAAGTTCAACAAGAAATGAGCTTGATTTTGCTCAACCGGCATCATCTGCTCAGCAGCCCCAGTTGCCTCCTCCTCCGCATCTGCCCTAATCTCATCAGCCGCGCCACCTTTGGCGTCGTCTTCCTGCATTGCAGCTTCATCAACTACCTGCTCTTCAACTGC